ATCGAAAATATGTAGCCACCAATGACCATTGGATCTATTTTGTTATTCAAAAAATTAATCACCTCTGTCATTATAGATTAAAAGAATAGTTAAACATCTCTATTTTGAGGAGAAAAATCCAGTCCGTCGTTATGAGAAAATCCATCCAACCGACTACTGGGGAGAACTGTACAAGTACCGGCGTGATGTCATACAGTAAAGTAAAATATATACTACGTCCATGATTAGTTATTGAAATATTTATTATAGCCAAAAACAAAATTCTTCTAGATAAAAGATATGGAAGGCAATCTATCACGCCAACAAATCCATCTAACCAAGGTACGCCCATTCAGTTAATATATTCACAAAAATTCTAGATCTAACAAGCCCCAATGGATGCTACACGTTAATTCTCACCAGATGCGTTAAGAAAAAAGATAAATGCTAGAAATTCTCACAGTTAATTGGAAACATCCAGCCATCAAATCGAAAGTATGTAGCCATCAATTTCCATTGGATCTATGTTGTTATCCAGAAAATTACCCACCTCTATCATTATAGATTAAAAAATAGATAAACATCTCTATTTTGAGGAGAAAATCGAGTCCGTCGTTATGAGAAAATCCATTATCGAACCGAGTACCGGGGAGAACTATACAAGTACCGGCGTGATGTCATACAGTAAAGTAAAATATATACTACGTCCATGATTAGTTATTGAAATATTTATTATAACCAAAAACAAAATTCTTCTAGATAACAGATATGGAAGGCAATCTATCACGCCAACAAATCCATCCAACCGAGGTACGCCCATGCAGTTAATATATTCACAAAAATTCTAGATCTAACAAAATAGATATACATGTGCTGGAGTGCCTTTATATTACTATTACTAATTAGAAGTCTTAATGGAGGCTCTACATTAATTCTTACTAGATACGCTAAGAAAAAATAAATATTTGAAATTCTCATGATCAGAAACATCCGGCCATCAAATCGAAAGTATATAGCCACCAATGACTATTGGATCTATTCTATTATCCAGAAAATTACCCACCTCTGTCATTATAGATTAAAAATAGATAAATATCTATATTTTGAGGAGAAAAATCGAGTCCGTCGTTATGAGAAAATCCATCCAGCCAAGTACCGGGGAGAACTATACAAGTACCGGCATGATGTCATACAGTAAAGTAAAATATATACTACGTTCATGATTAGTTATTCAAATATTTATTATAACAAAAAACAAAATTCTTCTAGATAAAAGATATGGAAGGCCCATGTAGTTAATATATTCACAAAAATTCCGGATCTAACAAAATAGATATACATCTGCCGGAGTGCCTTTATATATTTTGTAAGCCACGTACTAGCATAGCAGGCCAATCATTTTTTTCATCATACAAAAAACTGAAGGTACGGCCATACCGAACTGCCTTTATATATTCACCGCAGGAATCCATCATTTACTGTTCATCATCGTCACAAATCAAATGTCTATTCTTTTCATCATTCACCAACGAAAGGTATGGCTGTCTTGCTGAATCCATTTACGATCTAATCTGTCTCCTGCGATCTACATGGGAAAAGGTAAATTAATGCCATCATTGTTATATTTTTCAGGTTACAGGAAGGTCTATTATTTTCATTATTCGCCAACCAAAGATATATGGACGCGTTGAATCCATTTACAATCTGATCTATCTTCTGCGATCTACATGAAAAAGGTTAATTAATGCCATCATTATTATGTTTTCAGTTTACAAGTTGCAATGGTGGGAAAAACGTTAAGCGAGATTAGGCCAGGAAAAGAATTATGGAAAATCTACTCAACATTTTCAATATTCAGGTAATTCTGTAGATCACAAATTATTCTTATAATACTCACTCCGTCCCTGAAAAAATAGATTGTTAGACTGAAATTTGTCCCAGAATAAAAACATTTACTGACTCGGAGTTTCCAGCTGTCCACGTACTCATTTATTTCTACTGGACATCATGCTCCAATGGTTGATGTAGTGGGTACAATAACATTTTATTAGTGAGCAGATGAAGGTCGGTATATACAGTACCGGAGAAATCAGAACCAAGAAGAGAGAGATTGCGGCCTCACGGGGAACCCATCCGTCACGGGGGAATTTTTTTTATTTTTAATATTTTTTTAAAACTATTTTCAAATATGATACTGTTTTTTTTTAAATTAACATTTTTTGCCGCGTCTATTCGTATGACGCGGCTAAATCACATTGCCACATCATGTATAGGACGTGGCAGGAGCGATGATGTGGTAGCGATCAGAGCCGCTGAACGTTGACGTGGCTGGGGCTACCGCGCTGTGATCTGAGCGCGACCCGCGGCATTGCTCCCGCCGGCCCAACTACGTGCGGCGTATTGGCCAAGGGGCATTGTGGTTACTGCACGGAAATCGGTGCGCTCGCGTATTGGCCCGATGCCTGACTGCGTAGGAGGAGATCACTGTGCTGCACCGCGGGCCTCAATTGTCAAGCCCTTGTTTAATTGGGTGAATTTGGATTTTGGGGCTACTGTAGCACGTTCGTTTTTATTTGGCAAATAGTGTTTAAACATGGACTAATTAGGCTCAAAACGTTCGTCTCGCAATTTCCCACCAAACTGTGCAATTAGTTTTTATTTTCGTCTACATTTAATGCTTCATGCATGGGCCGCAAACATTCGATACGACAGATACTATAACAACTTTTTAGATTTTGGAGTCAACGCAAATCCGTAGCCAAAAAGCACTCTAAACCCGCTGCGACCCTGTCGGGCTCAAAGTCTCTGTGCCACTCTTCCCCGTCGAGTCACACTACTGTACGTATCAAACAGGGTTTTTTTTACAACAACAATTTTAAATATATTAGGTTAAAGCACGGTACACCGGTACGACGTGTGCATAGTCATATGCATGCATGTGACGAATGGACGTCTCTATAGCCACTACTAAGCTCCAGTTCACGCTACACTAGCTGCCACACTTACCCACGCTAGTGTGTATATATATACTAGACCAGTTTTAAATCTCCACGCCATGTCCTATTTTCCACGCTGCATGTGTGTGTAGGTGGTGGTGATGAAGGTGGCCATCCACTGCCAGGGCTGCGCAGGCAAAGTCAGGAAGCACATCTCGGTAGGTACGATGGTCGTCGTCGTATGTATGCTCTCTTGGCGCGCGCGAAACAACCACAAACACCCCCCCCCCACACACACACACATATATATATATATATATATATATATATATATATATATATATATATATGGTGCATTTTATATACTCTCGAGAGTAGTTATTTCTATAATCAATAAATTACGTTGCGTATGTGTACATACTCATTTATCAGTTTGACTATGTTGACATACTAATATTAAGATACTCCAAATCTTTACTATGTGAAAAAAATTCAAAAGAGCACATATTTTTTAATCTATTATATAATACTATGATAGTAGCATACAAAATAAGTATAACTATATACTCTAAGTATACATACATGTCATACATAGTACCCTAGATGGTCTAGTATGATGATATACTCTATCTACATACACTTCGTCGGGCCATACAAGTACGCTCTAAATCTAGAGATATACATATGGGAGTAACTACTCCCTGGGAGTAGGAAATAATTTTCATATATATATATATATATATATATATATAAAAGAGAGATTCGTCACATGCATGCATATGACTATGCACACGTCGTAATGGTGTACCGTGCTTTAACGTAATATATTTAAAATTGTTGTTGTAAAAAAAACCCAATTTAATACGTATAGTAGTGTGGTTTGGTGGGAAGAGTGGCACAGAGACTTTGAGCCCGACAGGGTCGCAGCGGGTTTAGAGTGCTTTCTGGCGACGGATTTGACAACTGAGGCCTGCGGCGCAGCACAGTGATCTCCTCCTACACGGTCAGGCATCGGGCCAATACGTGAGCGCACCGATTTCCTGTGCAGTAACCACAATGCCCCTCGGCCAATACGCCGTACGTAGCTAGGCCGGCGGAGCATTGCCGCGCCATTCTGCATGGCGCGTCAGCGCCGCATTCAGATCCACGGCGCGGTAGCTCCGACCACGTCAGCATTCAGCGGCTCTGGTCGCTGCCACGTCATCGCTCCTACCGTGCCCCATGCATGTTGTGGCAACGTGATTTCGTCGCGCCATGCGAATAGACGCGGCCAAAAGTGTTAGTTTTTAAAAAAAATAAACAGTATCATATTTAAAAATAGTTTTAAAAAAATGTTAAAAATAATAAAAAATCTCAGGGGGCGGGAACGCTGCTGTCCTGCATATGCACACCGCTGACGACCTCCTGTACATGGAGGTTCCCATCAAGGCTTGCCGCCCATATAATATACAAATTTAGATGGGGCACACAAAAAAAAAGGAAGAAAAAGAAAATATCCAACCGTGGAACCAAATTAATGAACACTATTAGCAAAGCCACAACTATCTCTCTCAGACATGCCAATGCCAATTCTAAACATGTGTGATACTCTGTATTCAAATAAAAGTTAATTGAATGTAGTAATTGTAATTTTAACATATATTAACACATGGTTTTCTATTGCTAAAGTATCTCAAAGTTAGCTCTTATGGAAGAATCTAGCCCGTGCGGCAGCACGGGTTGATGGACTAGTGAAAAAAAATTAGAAACAATAATATTATTTTTGCATGAACATTTCCTAAATTAATGGTAAAAGGTAGGTTTGCAAACTTTCTTGTAGGACATTGTGCATTTTTTTGGGGCACACCACGTAGGACATTGTGCATTTACGAACAGATAATAAAGTCTTAAAGAAGCATAAAACAAGTTCATTAACACTAAGGCGGAGGAACTTCCCATTCCATGAAGGAATCACGGTACCTTAGCTGAGACAATGCATCTTCCATATGCGCTTTCAGCGATTATATATCTCTCTCATCAATTATCATCAGCCAAAGGAACCAAGCTCTACGCTGCCACGCAATAAACCAAAAGCCATTACCGGCCATGCAGCTCCTACTCCTAACAACCATGCACCTGCTGCAGCTGCTCCTGCTGACCTCCGCCGTGGCCACAACCAGTGCAGCTGCAGGCTTGTATCCGTCAAGCCATGACCATGACGACGAGAGAGCTCTTGTGGCTTTCAAGGCCAAGATCTCCGGCCACTCAGGCGTGCTGGACTCGTGGAACCAGAGCACCAGCTACTGCAGCTGGGAGGGCGTCACCTGCGGCAGGAGGCACCCGTGGAGGGTGGTAGCCCTGAACCTCAGTTCCCAGGGTCTCGCCGGCACCATCTCCCCCGCCATCGGCAACCTCACCTTCCTGCGCTTGCTCAACCTGAGCTACAACAGCCTTCACGGTGAGATCCCTGCCAGCATCGGCTCCCTCAGGCGCCTTCAACGCCTTTACCTGGTCCAAAACACGCTCACTGGTGTCATCCCAGGTAACATCAGCCGCTGCATCAGCCTCCGTGAGATCCGCATCCAACACAACATAGGCCTGCAGGGAAGCATCCCAGCCGAGATTGGCAACATGCCATCGCTCTCAGTTCTACAGCTGTCAAACAACAGCATCACCGGAACTATCCCGTCTTCTCTTACAAACCTTTCCCGGCTGACCATGCTATCCTTGGCAGCCAACTATCTTGAGGGATCGATCCCTGCAGGCATCGGGAACAATCCGTATCTCGGTTTCCTTCAGCTCTCCCATAATAATCTCTCCGGTCGGCTCCCTCCTTCCCTATTCAACCTGTCATCTCTTTATATCTTTTATGCGGCTTTCAACCAGCTCCATGGCCATCTACCATCAGACCTGGGGAAAAGCCTTCCGAGAATCCAACAGTTTGGGATTGCAGGAAACCGATTTACTGGAGCTCTTCCGCCATCGCTAACCAACCTCTCCAGGCTCCAGCTTCTTGACTTGGGAGCTAATAATTTTACTGGAGTTGTTCCTGCTGAATTGGGCAGATTGCAACAACTTGAAATGTTTGCTCTGGAAGAAAACATCTTAGAAGCAAACAACGAGGAAGAGTGGGAATTTATTGATTCTTTGGTGAATTGTAGCAGATTAAAGGAACTGGGCATTGGATCGAACAAATTTTCAGGGAAGCTGCCAGGTCTGTTGGTTAATCTGTCTACTAATCTCCAGCTGCTGCAAATTGCCAACACCAACATATCCGGTGCCATCCCACCAGATATAGGAAATTTGGAAGGTCTTGAGATGCTTGATTTTGGTGAAAACTTACTCACTGGGGTCATTCCTGAAAGCATCGGGAAGCTTACACGATTGCTGGTGCTAGGCCTCAATTCAAACTACCTCTCAAGACATCTACCATCCTCCATCGGGAACCTGTCTAGTCTACTTCAGCTTTATGCAGGCGGCAACAGCTTGGAGGGGCCAATTCCACCAACCATTGGAAACTTGAGCAAACTTTTAGGCCTAGATCTGTCATATAACAACCTTACTGGCTTGATTCCTAACCAAATTATGGAGCTGCCATCGATCACAATGTTTCTGGATCTGTCCAACAACATGCTGGAGGGACCACTTCCGTCAGAAGTTGGTAGTTTGGTACATCTTGAACAGCTCTTCCTATCAAGAAACAAACTGTCAGGTGAGATACCTGATACTATTGGCAACTGCAGGGTCATGGAAATCCTCTCAATGGATGGCAACTCGTTCCAAGGAAATATACCTGCTACGTTCAAGAACATGGCAAGCTTGACTGTACTTAATTTGACGGACAACAAACTAGATGGAAGCATCCCTGGCAACCTGGCTACCCTTACCAACCTGCAGGAGTTGTATCTTGGCCACAACAATTTATCCGGAACAATTCCAGAGCTTTTATTTAATTCAACATCGCTGCTTCGTCTAGATCTGTCCTACAACAGTTTGCAAGGTGAAGTACCAAAAGGAGGAGTTTTCAAAAATTTGACTGGACTATCAAATGTTAGTAACAATGCATTGTGCGGGGGGGATACCACAGCTCCATCTGCCAAAATGCCCAAGCTCTTGTGCAAGAAAGAATAGGAAAGACACACCCAAGTTTCTTAGAATAGCAATCCCAGCGATAGGAAGTCTCATCTTGCTTTTTCTGGTTTGGGCTGGATTTCACTACAGAAAGTCCAAGACAGCACCGAAGAAAGATCTGCCACCACAATTTGCAAAGGTAGAGCTTCCAATAGTTCCATACAATGATATACTGAAAGGAACAGATGGATTTTCAGAAGCAAATGTGCTTGGAAAGGGAAGATATGGTACAGTATACAAGGGCACACTAGAAAATCAAGCCATTGTCGTCGCCGTAAAGGTGTTTAATGTCCAGCGAATCAGGATCCTACAAAAGCTTCCAGGCTGAATGTGAGGCACTAAGAAGAGTGAGGCACCGATGCCTTCTAAAGATCATTACATGTTGTTCTAGCATCAACCACCAGGGTCAAGACTTCAGAGCACTAGTCTTTGAGTTCATGGCTAATGGCAGCTTAGATAGATGGATCCACTCAAATTTAGAAGGCCAAAATAGACAAGGAGCGCTGAGTCTGTCACAGAGGTTGGATATCGCTGTGGACATTGTGGATGCTTTGGACTATCTTCACAACGGTTGCCAGCCATTGATCATCCATTGTGATCTCAATCCAAGTAACATTCTTCTCAATCAGGACATGAGAGCTCGAGTTGGAGATTTTGGCATTGCTAGAGTTCTAGATGAAGCAACAACAAACATCCTGTGAATTCCAGTAGCACCATAGGAATAAGAGGTTCCATTGGATATATTGCTCCAGGTAACTAAAGTTATTTTGTTTCATGCTTCAAATAATAGCATCTATCCCTATTAGCTAATCAATATGTGCTGCTGCATGGGTTAGTAATTGTTAAAAAATAAGTCAGAAATTCATGGATAATTGGGTTAGAGCTCAACAAAATTGCTTATCTTTGCTCTTTCCCATTTGCTCATATGCTTGCCTTTAGTTTGAATCTTAGCTTTCCGCTATGTGTTGGATATAGAAACTGGCATTCAATGCTTCCCTCAAACATGTACCCATCGTCTGCGACACACATCATGCATTTATACCATAAGTGGATAACTTGGAAAATATATATGGTTACTTTTAAAATAGTTTTTTTAAAAAAGCAGATGCATGCTATTAGATTTAGACTCAGAATTAGTTTAAAATGTTTATAATAACAACACAGGTGGGTTATTTTAAGTTAGTTTTCACAATGTCATATGTTGGTAATTTAAATATACAAGATAGGAAAGGCCATTTAAGAATGTTTTTATAATGGCCGAGGTGTGTAATTTTTTAGAAAGCACTATATACCAAATGCATATTATCACCACCGGTAACTATAGTATACTGAATTGGTGGCTGATGCCTTTTATTTTTGTGAGAACATCTCAGATTTACTTTTAGTTATGGCTTATTGTCTTGTGAGCACTAATGTGGAGGCTCCAATAGGATTATCCAATTGCTAATAGTAAGTAGTCTTTGAGTTATATATATATATATATATATATATATATATATATATATATATATATATATATATATATATATATATATATATATATCCTCATATTTCATTCCACTACAGAATATGGAGAAGGGCTTGCGGTGTCAACTTCTGGAGATGTGTTTAGTCTTGGCATCACTTTGATCGAGATGTTCACAGGGAAGAGGCCGACAGATGATATGTTTAGAGATGGGATAAGCTTGCATTATTATGCCGAGGCAGCTCTTCCTGACAAGATTATGGAGATAGTAGATTCCAACATCCGGCTGCATGATGGAGTAAACAATAGCAATGATACAAGACATATAACAAGAACCAGGGAATGTTTGTCGGCCGTCATTCAGCTTGGTGTCCTTTGTTCAAAGCAATTGCCCACGGAGCGATTGTCAATGCACGATGCTGCTACAAAGATGCATGATATCAGAGATAAATATATTTTTACTCAATAATAAAATGGTGTTAGTTCATATTAATCACCACTACCTTATACTATCATGTTTCTCTAAATATATTGTTGAAGTCTATAATATATTTGCTTATCTTTTTCCAGTAGTAATATCTCCTTCTATTAATATATCTACCCAAGGAGCAACCCCCTCCTGTTATGTAAAAAAGTATACATATTTGATTATTTTGGGGATGAGTTGTACATGATTTTTTATCAATTTTGCTGTGTTGTCTTTTATCATAGGCTGATAGGCATCATCATTGGTTAAGATGTTGGTGATCCCAAAAGATAATGGGTTAGTTGGAATCATGCTAGTATAAATGTCACAATGCCATTACACTATTTGTCTGACTTGTTATTACATTTTGCTGTATAATCAAACCATACCACTTTATACATATTTGATGATGTTGAGCCCACATACAGTGTTCGCCTAAACGGATTAAACGGCCGTTTAAATGGCCAGTAAACGGTAAATGATGGTAAACTGTTTTGTTTATGGGGTAAACGGAAATTAAGCGGTTGACCGTTTAAACGGTCAAAAAAACGAGGAAAAACGGCCTAAACGGTCAAAATGGAACGGAGATAAACAGCATTAAACGGGCTAAACAGCTGTTTAAACGGCCGTTTAGGCGAACACGAGTTAAATCTAGTTCAGTTGTATATGGATAAATTTGTATACTTAAGTTTATTATATTTATAAATGTGTACACTTGATATGTTACATGTATAAATATCTATATTTGGTTCTTTTCACATGCATAAATATATATACATACCAAAATAATTGATTTTTACTCGGATAAATATGTATAAATGCTAGAATACTTGATTTTTTACATGCACATATATAATTATATGTATTTTTTTAAAAGTACAAAACCGTTTAACCGTTTAACTTCGTTTAAACACCGTGTAAGCAACCTAAACGCTAAACGAAGGGCGACCATGTAAAGACCGTTTACCGTTTAGGAAAACATTGCCTACATATAGTCAATTGTATTTCGGTATTGAGTACAATCCCCTTTTTCTTCCCCTCCTCCGATGCCTCCAGCTTGCCTAATGCCCTAACCCACTAATGTGGGCTCAATGATGGTGGCCCTCCCATGCTTTGGAGAGGGACACAAGGCCCGTGTGGAAGTCCCAAATTGATTTTGGTAATTGAGTGACAACCTTAGGTGGTACACTAGGTTGAGCAAGATATAGAACCATGGTGAAGATGTGGCTTGGTCATGTGATGATAGTGCCCATGTGTGGTTAATGTAATGATTAAAACTATTGTAATAGTAAGTACGTTTAGTCTGATATTCTATAATTTGGAATATATATGTGTTTGGACTTCCTAGGCCCACATAAATATATTGGTACTTGATTTTACATTGTAAAACTGGGTGTGGCAAATTGTTATCAGAGCCTAGTTGATTGTAGGATGATCAGCCTAGTTAGAACTACACGACTTTTAGGCTTTTATCTCTTACTCCTCCCTCATGTGGTCAGGCATAGCAGGGAGGCCAGCAGGGAGCTAGCGACCCTGATGGAGAGGACTCCGACAGCTCCGACGATGACGGGGCAGTGGTGGCAACGACAACGACTAGGGCTGTTAGGACGCCAAGCGTTGGACCATGGAATTATGCACCCACGTACAATGGTAACAACTTCTACCACCTATGTATGTTGCCTCTCCTGCATCGTTTCTACACTCAAGTAAAGGTGGGGTACATGACTGAGCACTGGATTCACCTAAGGCACTAGGGCTTTTGGAAGACCTTGGTGTACATCAACACGGCTGGACAGGTGCGCTCTGTCCACAACCCGAGGCACATGAGGCAGTTGTTGGAGATGATGTCAGGTAAGATCTGGAGATCTACCGCTCCTTCTTCCCTCGGATAGAGGGGGAGCCAGACTGCTACCTTCATCACCATGAGGGCGGTCAGTCTAGGTGCCAAGTGTCTTCAGTTGTAATACGTACATTTCCTCTGATATTCTATAATTTAGAATATAAATGTGTTTGGACTTTCCAGTCGTACATATATCGGTACTTGGTTTGACTATGTAAAAATGGTATGACAAGACAAGACATTTGTCATCCGTTGCTTCCTTCTAATCAGACATACGTACGCTTGTCTCGGTTGTTTCGTTGGTGTTGAACAACAACCGGTGGTTGTTGAAACCACTTGCATGACAGGTAGACAGTCCCTTCAAACCAAAATGGCACGCATTCCGGCATGACTGCATGGGTTGACCGCTAATAGTATTTAATAGACAAGAGCAACGCTGCCAAAACACCTGCATCCTTCACATTTTCAAAGCCACTTCTTACAGGCAGGAGCTTCCTGCCACGATTATCTCTATCCATTCTCAGTTTCTTTCTGTAGGTATATATGTGTGGCATCGTGTCTCTTTTCTAGAGTTATTATTAGTATCTAAAATTTCTGAACTAATATCATCTGCTTTGTAATGTGTGCCTCTGCGTGCAGACATATATATCGAGCTCAGGATGAGAATCTGGTACGTCTGTCTGCTGCTTTTCTTCCTGGTCATATCTACTATTTTACTCTTGGGTTCTTCCCAAACAACTCCAAGCAGCAATAACAAGGATCGAGAGGCTCTCCTTGATCTGAAATCCTTCATCACCAGTGATCCCTCCGGGGCGCTATCATCATGGGGGAATGGCTCGTCGGAGTGCACATGGACAGGGGTGAACTGCAAAAATGGTGGCAGAGTTACATACAGAGCTGGATCTCAAGGCCCTCAACTTGGTTGGGACTATCAGCCCTCACATTGGCAATCTCACAGCTCTACGTTCTTGTACCTACATGATAATCACTTTGCCAGTAACATCCCTAACCATCTCGGTCGGCTTCGTCAACTCCAATTGCTAAATCTTAGTGGTAACCTTCTTACCGGAACCATTCCCCCGGTTTTCACAAACTGCACTAGTCTCATGACCATCGATTTGTCAGGGAACGCCATTTCTGGTGGAATCCATGCATCTTCTTCAGAAACTTCGGGTCCTAAACATGGGGAAGAACCAGCTAGATGGCAGTATTCCCCCATCAATTGGCAACTTGTCACTGCTAAGCCATCTTGATGTCAACACAAACAACCTCACCGGTGAAATCCCTGAAGCAATGAGCAGGCTGGATCATATCCAGCACCTCCAGCTCTCCATAAACAGCCTAAAAGGCATAGTTCCCATGCAACTTTACAATCGCTCTACACTTGTTTTCTTTGCATTTGCAAAGAATGACCTTTATGGTGAGACCCCGAGTGATATCAGTTTTCGGCTCCCAAACCTACGCGTGTTCCACAATTGCTTCAACAAGTTCAGTGGTCCGATCCCACCGTCTCTCCACAACGTGACCAAGATTGAAAGCATAAGGATGTGTAACAACCTATTTACCGGCTCAGTGCCACCTGGTCTTAACAGACTACATAGTCTTGTCATGTACAATATTGGCTTCAACCATATATCTGATACCACAAGCATCATTACAGGCCTAACAAACTGCACTAACCTGCAATTCATTGCCCTTGATGAGAATCTCATCGAGGGATGGCTGCCTGATTCATTTGGCAACCTGTCAAGTTCCCTTGAAAAGCTATACCTTGGCGGCAACAGGATAAACGGTCAAATACCGCTGTCCATAGGAAGTTTAACATCTTTAACATTGCTCAACATGAGTTACAACCAACCATCTGGGAGTATCCCATCAGAGATAGGTCGTCTCAGCTAGCCAGCTGACAGTGCTTGGGCTTGCTGGGAAC